AAATACAATCTCATAAAGTCCGCAGTTTAACACTTCAACCCAGGCTACCTGCTTAGCCCAAGAATATCTTTATTCGATTTAAATTTTGTAGCTCGGCCAGCCTCATACCACACACCATACCTTTCAAGGCTTATCGTTCCCACCATTACCACTTGTAGAAGCAACGTTACCACCTGCAACTTCTACCAATGCGCACAACTAATCAACACTTGTCAAAGGAAAGCCAAACTCATACAAATAATCAAAACAAAACAAAGCAGAAAACGCATCCTCCATATTTTGCACATGGGTGGGATCGTATAAGGGAAGTTCGGTCTCATGTAGGCCCATATTAAACTCAGTGTTCATTATCTCGCAGCCAGTCGTCCTGCCAAAATCAATGCAAATGGTTTGCAGATCACGATTGGCCTAAAAAAATGACGACTTGATGACAAGTTCGTCAACCAATTTTGCAATCCCATGCGACAATACCCAAGTCACTTCTCCATTCACTCTGCTCAGCTGACTCTCTAGCCCCACCACACTTGCTTGCAAATTTGTATTCCGTGGGGAGGAATCATTCAATTCACCCTTCAACTTTCGTACACCATGCTCTCTAACATGGCTATCTTGTCCATCAACCTGGTCTTCTCCAAATCAAGAGATGCTACTGTTGTCTTTAACGCTGAAACCTCCTCAACAACATTATCATAACCAGCTAGTTTACTTTCCAAGACAACTTTCTCCTTTTGGACAATGGCTAGTTCATCTCTCACCTTATCCGCTTCACTCTAAGATGTTGTTCCCATATTTGGCATAACCTTTTCCAACTCAGCAACTTTTTCCACAAGCTCCACATGCCGATCATGAAACAATTGCATGTTACGAGCAACTCCTCTTGACAACACCACAAACAGATTAATCAGATCAGATATCTTCTTGAATTCATCACGTAGACTACGATTCTCTAAGTGCAATGCCTCATTTTCATCAAGCCACAAAATGATCTCTTGACCCATAATCATATTTTACACAAGCTTAATCTTATACATATCACGAACATTCTCTCTATGACCTTGGCCGGCACTTGAACAAGTCCCTGGATAAGCAAAGTTCTCAAAGAAAGACATGGAAACCTTTGGCTCCATTAAGCTTTGATCCCGCCTATATCCCCACGAAGAAACATAAATAGGACCAGCTAGGTGCGAAGCATCAATTTCATGAGGCGGGATGTTCATATTCAATTAAGAAATATATGACAAGGGACATTTAACATCGAGGCTGCTAGCAAAATCACGAAAAACATTGGGTTCCAAGGAACGAGACCTCTTGAGAACTCTACCACTACTACCCTATCCACCTAATAGAACAGTTGTTGGAGCAGTAGAGGTAGCATAATCCATGATCTCTTGAGAACTCTACCACTACTACCCTATCCACCTGATAGAACAGCTGATGGAGAAGTAGAGGTAGCAGAATCCATGTCTCTCTTATGTCCGATTAAGGGTTGTTCACCACTTCCGTCCTCTCTATCACCATCAATATTAATCACATTCCTAGTGGCAACAAGGGGAGTATGATCGTCATTTATGCCATCATAAGATTTACGAACGCCGATCGAAGACTTAGAACTCTACTCCACATCATTGTGAGAGTTACTTCCAATACTACCACTATAGGTAAAGCTATCATCAAGAATTGGGAGGTCAAAATCCTTCATGCCTAGATCTCGTGCAGCAATTCACCCTCAACAAAATCAAATAACAGGAAAGGTAGTTGAGTTCCATCTACATGTGACAACCATTAGGTCAATACATATAAGTAAATTAAGAATACAAAGACATCTTGTGGAAACAAACTTGTACCACGAACGAATAACGTTGGAACAACACCAAGACGCAACCAATATAGACTCATACCAACTTGCCCCAACACAACCTCAGGGGATTTCTTCATCATCATATTCAAATGAGAGATCTTGCCTATGTCCTGGATTAAATCACTAGTTCTAGCGGGTTTTTGGTCATCAATCATCCCAACAAGGTGAAATTTGTTTCTATAACAGAAGCATGAAGCGTTCAACCAGATAAATTCGTTCTTCCAATTTTTTATAGAATGCGGAAGAACCTCGATAAAGCTATGTCCCCTTGACCGAAAATAGTACCAAGCCTCATTACTGAAAATGCCGAAGAAGTATTCGAACAAGATAACAGTAGGGAAAACCAAGGAGGCATGGCATAGGAGTTCAAAGTCGATAATTTTTTAAATCGAATTAGGTTTCGGTTGACAAGTATGAATGTTGTACGCCTCAATAACTGAACAAAAGAATGTTGATGGAGGAACTCGCAGACCGGCTTCAAAATAGTAAAGATAAAAACCAACCTTGCCCGGTGAAGGGCGATCGATGACGACATTCGCAACAGGGAGAATGGAATCATCCTCATTGACAAGTTGATACTTGACAGTAACTTGGTCGAGTTGCTCATGGCTGACGGTTGAATGAACAACGAGCATCATCGAACGAGACATTCTTTCGAAAAATGTGTGAGGATTCAAAAAGAAGAAATGGTGAAGGGGATACAGAATATCAAGATAAAATAATGCAACTGAAAAAGATTTGACAAGCATTTATGAAACAGAAAATGGGAAGCCAACGACTACTAATAGGGGTTCGAGTGCCTATAAGCCTACAATCATTCGTGGGCGCATGGACAAACAAAGAGTCGTCAACTGAGCCGAGTAATAAAGCAAGAAAAATGACCCATTTAAGCACAATTATTATGCATAGCAGCGCTTTATAACAAATAGGGTGGGGGACTTAATGGGGTGAGGTGCCAGTCCACACAAAACCAAGCTGGTCGAACAACCCGATCTGTCAGCCTAAGACACAAGTGTGTACCTAAATGTCAAGCACTAGAACAAGAATCACTCTATCACCGTACACATCCTATAAAGCATCTCCATGAAACTTGGAAAAAGTGAGACTATTTTAATAGAAAATAAGGATCACCATTGCAGCCTAAAGATTAATGCAAAACCCAAACGAATAAGCTAAGAAATGGTTCAAACCCCTACTATAAAAACGGGCCTTCACTGAAAGATAAGCCAAACAATCATCTAGCAACTACTAACTTAGGCATTGGAGAGCAATATCGTGGGTCCGCCCTTGGTATGGCTTTCTAACCTATATTTTCACATATCATTCAACGTGCTACTTGGACTGCTCATTGGAAGAAGTTTTAAGAGGGACCACCACAAGCATATGGGTATCCATGTTGCAACATAATACAGATAATATGCACACATTGAATTTAATCATCTAGATATTTGATATCTATGTGTAAGTTGATAGTAACTATGCACTCACTTGTTAAAGTAGATGATTGGAAAGTTGGACATTGCTTCCCTTCAACACATAGCCTTTCCTTTGATGTGACCTAGGTTCAATTATCACTAAGTCTTAGTTTACTATCTCTTATAACTAATTAATAATCTAGATTCCCCAACAATCCTAATGTCAACATCAAGATCTATCAAGTAAGGAGCAACCAGATAAGATCAAATTGTAGGTAGGATCTGTTTGGTATACAGAGTATACTCTTTGGAAATCCTACTTTAAACACCTCACTAAATCTTGCTTAGACATCATCTCGTAAGTAGATCAATCAGTATAATGATTTGGAATCACTGATAAATATAATTTTTATTAATTCATAACAACGACTATGAATATAAATATAAATTACACAAAATAAAGTTTAGTGTGATTTAACTTACAGAGATTTCGTAGACAAAAGTCGGGAAATTGCATTGGCAGTACTCCGGCCTGATAGTTATTAGTTGTCGGGCTCCTAGGGACCTTAGGGCTTCTCTGGTGACTAAAAACTACACGATAATGGGCTAATATTGATAGAAACTCAAGAGAGTGAATGGGAAAAAATGTGGGAATGAACTAAATCTTCGAAGGCTATTAATATGCGAAAAAATGTAAAGCACATCGTACACTCTATCAGAGCGCGCTGCACAAAATGCTGGAAGGTGACATGTTGAAATCTCATCATGACATGTATCGCAATCTCGTGGGTTGTCAAAGGTGTGTCACACCTATTTCTGTGTGCGCAGCTGCGTGCAAATTTTTATAAAATCTTTATAGATTCATATTTTATTCACATGAGCTCTATTTTCGATGCGTTTTACACCTACGTGTAGCTATCGACAAGATCTGTAACTTTCATTTAGACTCCATCAGAAAATTTGACTTTATTTTTAAAGTTGTATTTTTAACAGACTTAGATTGTTAAATTCCGTTAAAAATTCAACACTTCCTCATCCGACGTCCATTCTCGAATGTCTTTATATCGACGAACTCCTATTAATGAGATCTTCGATTCTCATTTAGATTGTTTCTATTAAAAATCAACGACCTCAAATTTGATTTTTGTGTCTGCATTGTTGCGCTGAAATTCGAATAATCATAATTTTTTCATATAAAGTCAGATTTATGCATTCTCTATATGTACGCTCGTGGTTCTATGATTACTTTGACTTTCATTTAGATTGCTGATAAAAAGCAACCTATCAAAAATTTACTTTTTATGATACTCGTTAGCGTATCGAGTTAAACACTAAACTTCAACGGGTCATAACTTCTTCGTTCTAAGCCTGATTTAAGCATTCCTTACACCCCCGGAATTCCCATAATGACTACCTCGAATTTCATCAAGGTTATTCGGTCTATTTATTATTCTATTTAATATACGCATTTTTATTTCTTATTTTTTTATATTGCTTTAAGCAAGTATACAACGTATAACTACACATACAACACATGATGCTTGATAATTCTCTTTATTTACTTCATATAAAGGTTACAATTGTTGATCATTACAAGTATATAATCTTAGTAATGCCTGGCGAGAAAACGCGGGTGTTACATGTTGTTGTCCCGATTGAGGTTGATCAGATTTACCGTTGTTAATTAATAATGGACACTGAGCTTTCCAATGATTTTTCTATTTGCAAAAGGCACACTCATCATAAGCAACCCTTGGAGTTTGTCGATACTGATTAATGGAAACAGCAAGCACAACATGAGCGGAAGTAGGAGCGGAGATTGCTTTAGACCCTTTATCCATATGAGACTTGATATGAGTTTCTTCAGCAATCAGCTCATGAACAACAGAATCTACTGAGGGAAGGGGAAACGATGAAGAATCGTTCCAGATAGGCCTTCAAATTAGAATGTAACGCAATCAAAAACTGAACCCAATGTTGTTCTTCCCTCCTAGTAATATAAGGCTCAAAATCTTTTAACTCTTTAGATTCTGTAAGAGCCAATTGATCGCACAAATCAAACATATCAGCATAGAAATCTTGAATACTCATATCATTTTGTTGAAGGGCACGACTGTCATATTCTAATTGATAGTGTTTAGCAAAGTTTGACTAAGTATACAGTCTCTCCAAATGACTCCAAACTTATTTTAATGTGTCATACGTAGCCAATTGCATACCAATGGATTGTGTAACAGGATTAATCCAGGTAATAACCTCACAGTAATCAGTTTCCCAAGTATCACCCAACAAATCAAAATTCTCAGCTTGAGGCACTAAAGGTTTAGCTTTAACCCCAGTAACATAGCCCAATATATTCTTTCCACAAATGAAATTTTTATAACATAGCCTCAATACATGTAAATTTCCCATCTAATCGAATGTCGATTGACTGAAGGGAATTTCTAGTCATGTTGGCAACAGATTGATAACCACGATAATAACAGCAACAATAATCAACAAGCAATCAGAGAACAAGAACAACAAACCAGCGGAAACAGCAAATCAAAAAACTAGAAATCAAACAGCATAAATCAAACTAGTAGAAGCAGCAGGTGAAGAACATTGGCAAACAAACAACATCAAACGAACACCTACAGTACAAAATCTTCCAACTAACATATCAAAACCCAACTCTGATGTTGTGATGGTTGAACAATAGTCATATTTGATAAAGAGAAAAGCTAGTTCTTCATTAGAAAGGGTTAGGGCTACAAACAACAAGAGTAAGGTGGTTTTTGACTTGTCTTTTTGAGCGGCAAAAATCTTTTATGGAAAATGATAAAAGGTAAAAGATATATGGTAGAAACATTTTAAAAGCTACTTTTGGATTTTAGATAAAAGGAAAACCTGATTTTTTTGTAACTTTTTCAAAAAAAACTTTTATCTTTTAAAAAGACAAGTCAAACCCTAAAAGACTAAAACAAAAAGCCCATAAACATTTTGAGTGATAACATATGGGCTAACACATTCTTGTCTAAGAAACATTTTGAGTGATAACATCGGTTGAGAAACATGAATGTAATTTATTAATTAACAAACCTTCGTCTAAGTATCTTATATTCGTAACTGCTACTCGAACATTTTGGGGTGTAGGTTTTAATGTTTTACGTTATTTCGCATTCGTATTCTTATTTTAGTTTGATAAGCATAGAATAACTTTTCTTTGACTAAAATTGGTGCAATATTTTATCAAAATGGTATTAACGCCAATGATGAAAACCTCATGAATGCACGACATGTCTGCAAATTATCCACTAGTGTGAAATTTCACATTTACATTGATGTAACTATATTTTCAAGTGTAATGAAATAGGGACAATTTATGAATTATGCCAAAATATGTCTCAATGTTCAAGTTTTAACAAAATTTACGTATGGACAAGTCTTAAAATGTTAATGATGAAAATATTATGCTTACAAATCTTATAATGTTCAAGTTTTAACGAAATTTCTTTATGGACAATTAAGTTTTGAATTCAAGTATTTGGAGCAAATTGATGTATATAGATATATTTTTAAGAAAACGCATAAACTCATCAATGATTTAAAGTAATTTGCTAATTTCAAGACTAAGATTCTGTCAAACATAATCCTTTTGGTGTAAAAATGGTGTGAGGTTAAAGAAAATAATTAAATTACTCAAACACAAACAAAAACAAAATATAAAAAAACATAAATGCAACCCAAGATGCAATTCGTTCACAAAATTCCTTTCACTAAAAACCCAACCTTTAAAAGTCTTGATAACAAAACTACAAGCGTACAAAATTAAACAAAACAAAGTCTTGAACATCAAAATGAAAAATAACATTTGAATTTTTAAGCTTACTCGTCTTCCTGGCTGCGCAACCTTGCCAATTTGTTGGTAACAACAACATCCAACTGTGCTGCACGCTCAACAATCTCCTTCCTTTTGCGTGTAGACACATTGTGTGCAATTTCAGCACAATAGGTCCTATTAAAAAACACATATCAAATATTAAATATGTATACACAAATTAATGCTTATTATTATTATTATTATTATTACCTGTTATGCATCATGAGGACTTCCAACTCTTTGGCATTGTGAACAACAAACTTCTTGAATCCATTTGGGAGAAAATGGCGTGTCTTCTTGTCTGATCCATATCCGATGTTGGGCATAAGAGTGACACCTTTGAACTTTCGCCTGACTCTGGAGTCAATACCCT